TTAATCACAATGTACCCAAATTATGTACTAATGTAACTAAATAATTTGAAAATCAATTTTACCAAATTTAATAAAAAACCCAGTAATACAAATCCGACCACATCAAACTATGTTTGAGACCCCGAAATTGATGATGATCATCATCCATTTTTGGTTAAATGAGGTAAAAAAAACCGTAAAAAAATTGCATCCCTCGTAAACGAAGATTAGTTGTCGTTTTATTTTTAACAACTCTAAAATTTTGTAGGAAGAACCTTCAAATGCTAGAGAATAAGCAAACCTTTACCCCAAAATTAATCCAACAACTCCTTTTCACTAAATAAGGGTCGGGAAGCATATTTGACTCGAATTTTAATATAAAATTTAGGTGCGTCAGTCATTTGACTCATAATTAAAAATTTACATGTGACATTTTGTGTGACTGATATGTGAAAAGAGATTCGTAAGTTTTCCCGTTCCCGTGGATTTACATTGTTTTCCTGTGCCAACCCGATCCACTTTTCTTATAGGGAGAATGTATTATACCCGGGTACCGTGGTCAGCGTTATAAGGTATATAGTAAATAAGTTAATATTTGTACTATATATTATGGGTGCTTTTAGGCATCTCCCGCGGGAGACGTTCTCTCGTATCTGTTAGCAAATAGCAAGCCACAATTTAGTGTAACGTAACACAATCAGAAATTTCAAAACAAACGTTAGTTCGAAGAAAAAACCATCTATTTCTCAAAAAAACGCATAAGAAACCTTCTTTTAAGCACTAACAAAAAGTTTTCTTTGGGGAAATTTACATATATTTTTTATATTCCTAACCCTAAACTAAGCGTTATTCTAACATAAATAAACTTTAAGGAATTTTGGGAGATATATATCCCGCGGGAGATGCCTATAATTTCCCATATATTATTGGTTATTATTTAGTTAAATATAAATTTTTTACCAGTATATATTCCTATCGTTCCCTAAAATAATACACAGCATTTATGTTTGTGGCTCTGTGTTAAATCGGTGTCAAGTGGAAAGGCTCCTCCAGGTTGTAACATTGTAACAACGTACACTCAAAGTTCAAAGAAATGATTGCATATATGTGTATGATACATACATACGTTAATAATGATACGTGCAAGTTAATCAAGATAGATATAATACCGAGCATCTAAACCAATATCACACAACATGATCACAAATGGAAAAAATATTACACTGCGTTACTACATTTAATAAAGGAGATCAAAACGTTAAATTTATGAAATAGGTATATATGTATTTATTTACGTATTATTATCTTTAGACAAATAATTTAAAAATGGGACAACCCTTAAGAAAGCCTAAAAATGAAAGATGTGAAAATTACAATCAACGTGATGAAGAAACATATTTAAAATCTCTTTCATTGTTTGATCCTTACCGATTTATTCAAGGTTGAAAATTTTATTTAGCTCCAAATGTCCCATTAATCCTTCCAAATGATAGCGAGGAAGCTATACGATTTAACGCATCAATTAATCTTAATAAAAAATTGTTTAGCTCTAATTATTCTGCGCCTGTTACAAAATTACTTGAATGCGGTGACGCGAAAGTACTTGAAATTGGGTTTGTAACTCTATCTGTTAAGTCTTATTTGACGCGATTTATTTTAATAAATATATGTTATTTTATAGTACGTCTGGCGGATTTTGGCTAGAAGACATGGCAAAAAAATTCCCAACGTCGATTTTTTTGGGTTTAGATGTTTGTACTATATTTAATTCGGTAAAAAAAATCATAAACCTTATATAAATAACAGATTACTATTTGAATGTTAAGATTTATTTTACTTTTAGGATTGTTTACCGGACAATAGCATGTTTCTTGAACATAATTATCATGATGGAATACCATTCCCTGACAACGTGAGATATTTCTGCAATATTTTAATAAATGCGTTTTTTTCGATTAATTTTCATTTTTAATTGAAACTTATATTTTATTAAAATTATTAGACGTTTGATTTTATATTCCAACATGAAGTGGGTGAAAAGATTTGTAGGAATCAACTTCAAAACTATTTAGTATGTCAATTTCATTAATTCATTATTAATGCTTATATTGCTTTTTTTTCCCAACTAATGAATTTATTTTATATTATTAAAATAATATAGTGTGAAATGTTTCGCTTGCTTAAACCAGGGGGCTGGATAGAGGTCAGAATTTTTCATAATAAAATGAATATTATATCGACATTAAAGGATTTTTAATAGATATGTGGATCTCCTATTCAAATTGTTGGTGCCGGTCCCGTAACTGAACGATTTATATCAGCAAGTAATTTCTTTTCTTATATATATATATATATATAAGGGTTCAAAAAGTTCCTTTTAAATTTGACTACTATTAAAATAGCCCGAAAATGCTTTCGAATCAATGGACACGACCCTGATCTTATGGATACTATTCCAGAGAAATTAAAAACTTTAAATATTAAAAAGATCCAAGTAGTAGAAATGCAGCTTCCTCTTTCACATCGTAAAGTAACTTCAGGTGATCAGGTAGGTAGATAGATTAATGTATTTTTTTCAATTTGTAATCAAGTAACTTAAATCCTAAAATTCAATATCTTTTTTAAAAAAGAAGATAGAGGATACACAAGATTTTCTGCTTAGAACAGTAGAGGCCTACAGAGTAATATTGAACGCTTCAGAAGGATTTAGTAACGAAGAATATGATGAATTAAAAAGAAAAATTGCTATAGAGGGAGAAACTATGGATATGAGTATAAAAAGGGTGAGAATTTTTGGACAGAAACAAGAAACTATGGAAGAAATTATGGACATGGGTGTAGTAACGGCAGGAAGTTTTGGACAGAAGGAAAAAATTATGGAAAAAACTATGGATATGGATATAATAACAACATGAACGTTTGGGCAGAAGGAATCCACATCTACATGTTGTAATCTAATTTATATAAATTATATTGTTATTAGTTTGCCTATAATTAAAAAATTGACAAAATTTTATAATTATCATTAGCAACAAATGAATGGAAACATAATTCAGAATTTGAGGATGATTTGAAAAAGATATTGATCGAAAATAAATATCATTTATCATGGATTTCTTATGATGAATTTAAAATTATTCGAAAGATAGGGAAAGGTGACGTTGCAACCGTATACCACGCTAGTTGGCTTAATAAAAGTCAAAATTTTGACAGAGAAGTTGCGCTTAAATTACTTCACAAATCAAATAATTATCATGAAGAATTTATAAGAGATGTATTTTATAAGATGTTATTATTAATTATATTATTCATTTATATTAATTTAAATATATTTCTTTTTAATAATAAGTTAAAAGCTTATTGTGATATCGGTCATAAAAATCCAGCTTTTTTAAAATATTTTGGTATATCGAAAGATGATATTCTAAAGATTATATTCTCGTCATGGAATATGCTTCAAGAGGTTTTTTGCGCAAAAACTTACATGCCGTATCACAATTGAATTGGAAAGATAAATTAGATCTAAAATGCATTGTATCAGATATTCAAATAATTCATTTTCATGACCTTATGCATAGAAATTTACATAGTGGAAATATACTACTATACGGCCCAAAAAATGCATATATCGTAGATTTAGGACTCTCAATAACAGTTAATATTGCATTAAAATCAAAATCTGATGGAATTTATGGAATTTTACCATATATTGCTCCTGAAGTTTTGAACAGACAACCATATACTAAAGCATCCGATATTTATTCGTTTGGTATAATCATGTGGGAAGTTTTATATGGTAAACCTGTAACCTTTATGCAAAAATCTAAATTACAATTTCAATTACAAGTATGTGATGGTTTACGACCACATATCTATGAAAATACAGCAATATGTTATGTAGATTTAATGAAGAAATGTTGGAATATGGAACCAAAAAAAAGACCAACTGCAACAGAAATATATGATATTTTTACAGAATGGCAAAACAATGAAAATATTTTATCAGAGTTATCCGAATCTGATAAAAAACTACAAAATATAAAAGATGAAAATATTCAAATATATATTGAATCAAATTATAAAAGTAGCTTTATTTCATTTAACGATAAACATCAAGGTATAAATTTTGTTTTTTAATAAATTATTATTTTGTTTATTATATTATAACATTGTTTGACAATCTTTTTTATAGATAGTAATCTAGGTAGTTCTGCAGATTTAAATAAATTAAACGTATCATTAGAAATCAATTCAAATAATGAGCAACCAAACAATGAATATATAATTTCGAATAGGGCAATTTTAGATAAAAAGGAATCTTATGAAAATATGAGTATAGATGCGGATGTATTTAGTGGTATTCAATTTTCTAAACCTATAATTAGAAGTAACATTGATTTCACAGCTATTTCAAAATTTGTTTCAATCGATTCAACTTTTTCTCCTGGAACGTCAGCTGCTGCGCATGTTGAAGTTGATCGACTGTTTTCATTGCTTGAAGGGAAGAAGGCTAAAATCGATCACATATTAGATTCACAATATGTATATGCAGTGGGTATTGATTTTCAAAAAGGTTATTCTATGCCGTGTATCACTTGCTGGGTCACCAAGTATCTCGATATTGCTATTAAAGAACAGCTATCTGACTTATTTGAGAATGAGTTTGAAATTATAGAAAACATATTGACACCTACAGATACAGACGTCAATAATAGCAATAGTACACCTCCTTCCGGTAATGAAAAGGAATCTAAAGAGAAGGAAAATGATTATAATTGTAGTGGAAATGATGAAAAAAATGGTGATGGGACCAGTGAGAAAGAAAATAGTGTGAGGATGACGAAGATGGTAGTGGAGATAATGATGGCTAAAATAATGAGAATGATAACAAGGATAATGGTAAAGAAATTAATGATAATAATAGTAATAATGATGGTGATGGAGGAGATGGGAATGGAAGCATAACAAGTGACTTTAAAAATATTATAGTTACATCAGCAAGTCGAGTCATTACTAAAGAAAGTTCGGAGATTTTTCAAGAATTTGACATCGTTGCTGCTATCCATGCAAATGTTGACCCTGCTAATGGGAAACATAAAATTTTAAAATTTTTTGTTGATGTAAAAGAATGTGGAATGGGACCTATGATCAGTGAAAAGTTGTCACTTCACAAATTGGGTTTAGGTTATTTTCTTGACTCTGTTGTGATTGAAGTCTCACCAGTTTCACAACAAAATC